TTAGCGGCATATAGATTCTAAAGACAGGCATTCACGCATCTTAAAGGGAAAAATATAGCCAATTTGTGGTAATGTTAATCCTACTTGTTGAACACAGGTATATAGAAATGTAAGACCGGCTTATAGTCTCAAAAATACGCTTGAACGAGTTTATTCCCTATCTTGGCGCCCGATCTTTTCTTAATTTGTTGCTTTCTTCGTTGACTTTATTCGAAATGCTCGTATGTTTTTTTCTAATTGTTGAGCTCATTTATATGTCGAGTAAAAGTGTTTGGTGAAGAGATTCTTCATTGAACTCTTTCACTCGAATAGGAAGTAAGCTTAATAATGAGGAAACTATAAATTCCTCGGAACTCAACTTCCCTTCGCCTATGTTATTTTCCTGTCGTCACATTTCCTGCCTATATAGTTTTATTTGTACCCATTTATTTCTCATATCTTTTTATTTTTGCTCTGCTGGGGAGACTTTCAGCATATGACCGAATATATAGGCTTTCGGCAGTCAAGGTATATGTAATTTTATTATTCGATACACATCAGGCTTTTTCCGAGGTATTAAGGCTCATTAGTGCATATTTCTAGTTTTCTATATACTTTAACTATTCTAACTTCCATTATGTCACTCTTTGTTCAGAGACACATACTCTAGATACGCATTCTTACGACGCGAGGAGGAACGCAAAGAACAGTTTCTCTTCCACCTTCTCAGCTTAGACGCCGTGGACTATCACTCTTTCACGCGGATGTTGACACATGCTCGACTTACTTATCGCGTTTATGTTCAGACAGGTCTATCAACCGGGTATACGATCACTGCGCGCACGGTACGTCTAGCAACAAGTTTATTGCCAACCCCGCATTCGTCATCGTCGTCCACCTCCAAATCAGCCACGGTATCTAGTGCTGCAGGCCTTATCCCAGGCTCGATTCAAAGTTCGGATAATGGGATTGGCTGGGGGGCTATGTCAGCTTCTACCGGCTTCTCCACCACTCCAGGCACACCAAGTCTTTTCCGATCACCGGGTGTCGTCTCTGCGAGGAGTCATGCAGGTGGCACAGGATCGGCAGTCGCGGCCTTCAGACAAACGGGATCGGCATGTGAAGTAGACGGAATCGCAGTCAATCTGGAAGCTGTGAGCGTCCGGTACGCTTAGGAATACTTAGTTATTGCTCATTCAGATTCTTGTAGAATAGAGCTTCTTGTTTGGCACTTGTTGGTCAGTCAACATGACATGAATAAGTTCAAACCTTAGATCAGCGTGTGTAGCAATTTTGTTTGGAGGAGGATCTTTCTCCGAGAGAAAAAGATAGAGAAAGTAGAAAAAAGCTAAGTAACCTGATGCTATAATTCGTTGATAAGAATAGAGGAAATCCAGAGGAGTACATCGCCAAACCTAGACAGGCACATAATATGTCATTTAAACGGCTTAGTTTGGCAATGAATGCTTGTTCTGAATGTCTAAAGTTTACCTTTTTTGAGCATTTCGCTGCTACCCGGTCATGGCCAACTTTAAGCAATTACCTAAGGTGGTTTGGTCTTTTGTTTAGGTGCAGTGCTTTTTAGCCGCCAAAACTTGTAGGCTTGAAATATAATGTTGG